CTTATGTAGGAAAGATGTATCTTATAAAAGACACAATCCTCGCATTCTGTAGGATAGAATCGTGACAATTCAGGTTGTATTGAACTGCTGTATTGATCCTGTGTGGATTTTCTCTCTGACTCCAAGATTCAAATCCATTTATTTGCCTTCCCCGAATTCAGTGGGAGCCACCGAGAACTGAATTAAACCTTCTTAGTATAGCGTCACCCCTCCATCTGTATATATTTGCTCTGGTTTTCATTTCCTGGAGAACCAGCTTTTAGATTATAAAAGAGTGAGGATTTGTGATGCTCAACTGTTATAGAAGGACAACTAAAAGGAGAGATCCTAGTCAGATGTCTTTAGGTGTATGCTAGTTGCCCCAGAGAAGTTCAAGTATATTTAAACACAGGATATTATTCCAGTGAGAGAATACTGTTAAGGTAGGAAAGATAACCGATATGTAGTTTGCCAGCAACCAACCAGAGAACCACATCAAACAGAGATATTTATAGGACTCAAACAAACCTCTTTCCTCTTCTTTCTGTATCTGCTGTTCACCTCTTATCAATAAGGAAAAGCTTCTAAATGAAAGGGTTTCCAGGGAAGTAATTACATTTGTCTGATACAGCAAAAAAACAAAAAACAAAACAAAACCTCTTGCTGAACATTTAAGAGCTGAACAAAACCTGTTGATCTTAAATGTGCTCTAAGACTCTTGGTCACAAAATGAAATGAGTAGCCACATTTTCTGGTCACACTGGCTGAATTTCTTCAGAAGCCATTCAAGAGTAAGAGTGGAAAAATTCAAACTATTTTCAATGTAGATTTTCTGGCAAAGTAGTGTCATTGGCATGTAGCCTCAAAAAGGCACCTCTCTCCCACTTTATAGATTGCAATAATTACCGGTAATAGACGTATTAAGCAAGCCCTTTCAGATGGATACACCAAGCCATAGTTCTCTTCGTTATCACTCATGGGTTGTCCTCTCTTTCCTTCTTTCTTTCCTTTGATAACGGTTGTAATACTTGACAACGTTAAAAGTTATATTATTGTCATCAGTACCCGAGTGTGAACTTCCACTGTTAGATGAAAAGAATGTTACACCTTGAAACTCTTATATCAAGCAGTCTGGGAAACCAAAGATGTTTCTGCTTAGAATTCATTTCAAGTTCTGAAAGCTTTTTCTTTATAGCTAAGCAGATAAAACAGAGGGAGACTTTCTTTTTTCTTTAAAGATAAGATATTCTGCAGAAAAGCTGCAAGATCTAGGTGCAATTACTGTCTGTTCTTCATTCCAACACACCCTTTAAAGTCTTAATAACACAATGTCCTGCCCTAGCCCGGTGAATAACTGGTAAAAATCCCATTGGTGTCAATATGCCTTGAACTCCATTTGTGATCTGAACAATTAAGGTCAAATATTAAAGAGGCTTTAGATTAAAAGTAAACTAATTCTCAAAGCTAGAGCTTAATGCTTCAAACACAAAACTTAGTTATAAAACTTAATGGAATCTCACTGGTGGCATCTATAAGATGGCTGCTCTCTCTCTCTCTCTCTCTCTCTCTCTCACACACACACACACACACACACACACACACACACACGGAGTGGTACCTGCTTCTTTATGGTACAATATTCATGTACATTCTCCTACAGAGTGTGGAGAAACAATACATGGAAGCAGTTTTCACAATGCTGGATGTGTGTATATCTAAAAGTGGCCTCATCATAGCTCAGAATGTTTTAATAATTGGTGAGTAGTATGGTGCATTGAATCAAAGTGGTGTCAGAAAGTGGCTACAAGTGATACTGACTTCTGAAAATAGCAGAAGTCTGCAGCTTTATGACCTCTCTATAGAAATGCCATCCTATTTGTTCCAAGTAGGACTTTAATAGAAGAGAAATACACCTGCAGTTTAAGCATTTTTATTAAAACAATGGGGGGGGGGCAGGGGACTTTCTACTTGATTAACTGGGATGACACATTTAAAGTTGACTGATTTTTTAAAAGCATAACCCTATGTCGGCTTATAGGCAAGTCCCATTGGTTTCAGTGATTCCTAAATGTGCAGATAAATATATAGAAATGCATGGCTGCAATATACATATAAGATTGCAGCCATGCATTTCTAACATGAGTAGTGATCATCAATGCCTATGTCATGATTGGGGACCATGTGGCCCTTCAGATCCAACAGTCAGTAGAGGACAGTATATTTCTGATCCTTGCCCTATGTGGAAAATTAAAGAGCTGTCCTAGAGAATAGGGCACTGGCTACACTGGTGGAAAACCACCACAAGTGACAACACAATCATCTTTATGTGGCTGGATTTCAGCCACTGAGAGAAGAAACTATACATAATTCCATTGTTGAACAGCACCACATTTCCAGAGGTCTGAAGTGTCTCCACATGGATGAAGGCTTGATGGAACGATACTGACCTTGCAACAAGAAGATCTTTCTCCTGACATACTTTGGCCCATCACAATGACTGGAATTTGGTATGCCCTTTTGATATAGCCTTGTTCCTTATTATTCTACGGCTCAGTGACAGAAGATATGCTTTATGTACAGACAGCACCAGCTTCAGTCTTTCCCATCTCAGTTCAAAAGGGGTCCTTAAATTACTGTATATATCTAGGAAAGATTTCTGCTTGAAAGCTGTACCAATTGCACCAGATGGCATTGCAACAGCCTAGAGAGGTGAACGGTTCCACCTGGTGTAAGGCACTTCTCTGTGTTTAAGAACAAAAACGTATTCCAGAAAGTGTACAGGAGTCTGCTGAACTCCATCCTCACTTACATCAAAGGACTCCCCAGCTTTCATTCAGAAATTGTAACTACCAAAGTTAGGGCTTTGGTTCATCTAATTCTGTGCTCTGTACACTGCCTAGCACAGTGGCGGCAAACCTTTTTGGGCCTGAGTGCCCAAACTGGAAAAACAAAACAAAACCAGCAGGCAGTGGGCTGTGGTGGAACTGGAAGTGGTGGTGGCTTAACAGAAGCCACTGGCAATGGTGCGGCCAGGCAGCGGGCTGCTGCGGAACCGGAAGTGGTGGTGGCTTAAGTGGACGTGGCAGAAGGGGAAATCCCAGGCATGGAGGTGGCTCAAGACCCCACTCTGGATCTGCCAACTGCTCTGGATCCTGGCCTGCTGCCTGTAGAAGCGCCAGCCCCGCGGACGCAGTCACTTCAGCAGGTTGGCCGCAGGGGAGGGGGGGGGAATAGCGATCAGACGACTTATGGCTCACGTGCCTGCAGAAAGGTGCAGTCAGCAGGTTGGCCGCAGGGGGGGGGGAATAGCGATCAGATGACTTATGGCTCACGTCCCTGCAGAAAGGGCTCTGCATGTCAGCTGTGGCACGCGTACCATAGGTTCACCATCGCTGGCCCAGCATATCTGGAAGTTAAGTCATGGCAACGAGACTTCTTTCTTATTAGGCTGAAACTTTTTGCTACTCATCCAAGTAGCTTCTTCAGTCTGAGGAAAGTTGGTAATAGGGTGTATCGTCCATGTTGGTTTCGCTTCCCCCTGGTCTGAAAACGACATGGTACAGTATATATATCAGGGGTCACCTACCAACTCTGCTCATACTGAAGAAGCTGCGTGGCTGAGTTAATAGTTTCAACCTAATAAGAAAGAAGTCCAGTTGCCATGACTCAACTTCCAGATAACTTTACCTAGATGACTGAGAATCTTCACAAATTTATTGCCTAGCAATGTATTTCTGGGGTTTCCATCATGAATACCTGGTGATGCCATTGCAAACATCTGCTATGTAAATAGGATGCACTGCCTTCATAGATACTACTGCAATATTTACAGACAATAAACCACTGATTGTGCCTGTGTGCTTCTGCAATTTGATGTCCAAGATTTGTGTAATTCAACGTGCCAGGTATTGCTAGGCCCAAACGAAACTGGTAAATGATTTCGTTTTGTGCGTGCCTGTGTGCGTTTAAAACACACACACACACACAAAACCCAAAATGTGCCTAAGGACCACAAGCCATCATGGCCACCATACGTTGCCATAAGGCAACGTATCCGAGTCAAGAGACGTATCTATCACTCCGATGAAAGAGCACGATGCTTTTTTCCCCCTTGCAGAGGTAGCCGAGAGTGCAGCCTTCACGTCAACGGCAGAGCTGTCCCAACGGATCCTTCCTTCCTTCCATCCATCTCGCTGCCTCCCCTCCCCGCGCCCGGCCAGAGACCCACTTCCACGGGGTTTGCATTGTCCGAGGGGAGCGGAAATACATGTCGTTCCTTCGCTCCTTCTTTCGGGGAAGCCAGGAGGCCTCAGTCGGAAGCCCGACTTGGGGAGAGTTTCCTCTATTGTTCTCTGCCACGCCCTTGGTTACATATATAGCTATTCCACACGCCCCGCAACAGATTTTTTTTCCCAGTCAAGACTCTTGACGGAGAGCGACGGGCGATTCCTCTTCTCTCTCCCCCCCCGCCGCCGCCCCTCTCTTTTCCAACGCGCGCGCCTGCTTTTCTTCTCCCCATCCTCTTTCCCCCCCCAACCCCGCGGCCCCCATTTACCCAGAAGTGCTTCATTCAGTACGCGTGTGTTTCCGTTGGGTTTTCCTGCCGGAGAAGGCCAACGGGGGGAAGGGAGGCGTTTGGACTCCCGAGCGTACATATGTTTTTGTGTCCCTTTTCCAACTCTTTTTTTGTTTTAATTCTCCGCCTCCTCCTTCTGACTCGGCTTTGTTTTCCCCGCCCCGGCTAAGGGAAGCTCTCCTTTAAGGACCAGCGCCTGGGTGCAAGAGCAGCCCAGCACCAGGCAGGGAGGGTGGCGGTGGAAGAGAAGGAGGAGGAGGAGGAGGAGACGAAGGGCTCGAGTGCGTCCGGGTGGCGCTTTTATTGTTCGCGTGCGCCTTTGGGGTTGGGGCCTGGGT